GAAGGCTAGATTGGTATCAAAGGTCTCAAAGGAAGGAATCTGAGGTTCTGATTTTTTACTGTTTGTTCGGCGAGCCGCTAACTATACTTAGAAAATGTGCTTATCGATCGCAAGGCTCGTATCGGATCTGACCGCAATTAGAACTTGATGTACTTTTCCTTTACTTTTAGCAAAAAAAGAAAAAAATACGGTTATAACTGACCACCGACTCGGACTAAAACGTGCGGTTCACCATCGATGCTGTTTACGAATTTTTTTAAACCTTGTAACAATAAAAGTGAAGTACAAAGCATCTCTATAGTCTTCTTTGAAACTAGCGCCAAGTCACGATATTCTGATCAGACATTTTGTTGCTTCTAAGCTTTCAATTATACTTTTCGTAATATTAACCGCTACTGAGATGACCAATCGTTGTTTGTCTCCGGCGTTCAGATTTTATCTGAACACTTCGAAACTTCCGTGTACAATTTTTATACATGTCGAGATGCAAGCGGATCAAAGTACGTAATAAGAAATAGGTGGCCATAGAATTACATTATACAGCAAAAGTAGAACGACAAGGTTAGATATAACGAGAGGTTAGGCTGGGCATGCTCGCATCTGATGCTAAAAATAGTTCCGATAGTCCGCATAAATTTCACAGGCTTTGTAGTCTAGACCCATAACTGAAGTATAGAATCTGGACAAAAAAATTGCAAAGAAGAGTAATTGTAGAAAGACCGTCTAAGAGCAAAATTATACTGAATTGGTAATTTATTGGACGAATAGAACTGCGTATATAAAAAATAACAATACACTTCTTTATTATCGTTAAGTTCATTTAAGTAAAAAAGGAACTATCGCGAAGTTATCCCAGTTCAGTATAGAGACATGTATTTGACACAGGTTTGTTCATGCATCAGGAAGATCTGATCTTATATTTGCTAACGCTTAGGAAGTGGCCATCGGCCGAGTGACCTATATAGGAGATCGGATCTTTGTTTATTGTAAATCTCCTCATATGTGTGTAAGCTATTTGTTATCACATTTATCAGTATCGGATAGATACCACACGGTAGTTTTAATGGGAAGCCGCCCATCGTCCACAAACGAAAGTGAAGAGCCTACGTACATAGAATTAGGTACAGAATTTCTTTAAGAAAATACAACAGAATGGGAAAAAATCTAAACAGATCGGTCAAAGCAACGTATTTGAATACTATAATACGTTAAATTACACCTACATACACTGGATGTATGTGATAATATTTGCCGGAACGACTGTTTACTTAAGGGTTTTTTACACTTTTTCCTTAAATCTTTACTTTTGTGATTGTTTAATATAGATATTCTCAGTATGAACTCGTCTCACGTTTGTGAATCGACTGGCTTCTATTAGCCTTGCCTTCATGCTTCAAAAATATATACAGCAGCTGTATCGGAACAGGTACGACCCGAGATTTCGCATGATTCTTCTGACCCATGCATCTGAGAAAAATATTCTACGCATCTATCGGATCCGTGTGTGCCGCTGCGTGGCCAACGCGCCCGGCGCCAGTCTAGCTACGCACGCATATCTTCAAAGATTTAATATCTTCAAAGCAAATCGGCATGGTTTACACGTTGTTGCTGAACTACTACTACTGCTGCTGGGCTTATTCGTCGTTTACGTCACCATTTATTTCACACAGACGTAAATATAGCAGTGCGCGCATTCGTAGAGACTGCTGGCGGTAACGCGTGCAGCCGTCGCCGCGGACAACAGAATCGTGCCAACGTGATGCCCAGCGTGTGAACACGCCAGGGGCCACTTGTGGAATTCTTTGCCAGCAGCCTGTTGCGGCAGCAACGTCTGCTGCGGCCTCTAGCTACTTTAAAGAACGCGATTTGACGTGGAAACAGAACGCCGTCCATCTTTCTGTCTGTCGGTGGGCCGTCTTAGTCGCCATATCGTATCATAGATTCGGACGGGCATTGGTCGGAGTTCAAAGGCGACAGCTGCAGCCACAAGGGGGACCGCATCCGGCGCCGCCTTGTGCTTATATCTGTCGGTTTGACTGTGTACGCGTGTGTGCATGAATGTCTTGGCGTGGATGTATGTCCACGAGCGAGAAGCTCGTAAAGTGTGTGCACTTATATGAGACCCCATACGTAGACGGCTTACCAAAGCTCGTTGATAGGACAGCGTGCTACTGCTCCAGACGAAGAAGAAACGAAAAAAGAAGCTGCAAAACCAATGGTCGTATATTGCTTGACGAAGCCGACACTTGCCACCACCATCATCCAGCCGTCCTCTTTGTTGAGTTGCAATATCGTCAGGGTTTTGTCCCTGTGCAATCCCTCTCTTTTGCCTTAAACTCGACTCTATGCCACTGTAGACCGTAGGCGACGAGTATCCTAAGGTCTCTTTGCCCTCTTTCAGGCTCTACGTCTCCCTTCTTCGCCCGCAGCCTGTTGTTGCCTCCAGCGACGCGTTTGGCCCAGCTTATACTACTGCTGCCATTGCTGCTACTGCCACTTCGACGATGTCTTCTACTGCGATTTGTTCTCTTTTGTGTTGATGATGTCGTCATCCGCCATTATATATTTGTATATATGTATAATATATGTCGCCGTCTATAGTTTTCTATCTATATGTACTGGATGGAGTGTTTCTACGTGTTCTATTGACCTTACGAAAGCTGCCACAATACAAACACGCCAATACCACCCACATCTACTAAGATACGGATTATTGGTGATGAGCAGAGACAGGAACATGTTTAGGACCACCAAAGCAAGTATTCTGACCAAACCGATTTTCTCACATATACACTGGTCTACGGTCGTTTACATACACACATACAAACTGCCATATATAGAGATATATGTGCATATTATCCTGGCCTGAGAATCCTGACGGCTGCTACAAAGGTTCCTGTTTTTTCTCCTAATGCTGCCGTTTCTAGTTCTTGCCGGCCCTCACTGGATCAGAATCGGAGACTTGCTAGCTCATCCGCTCCTTTGAGTACATATCTCACACAGCGCCAGTTGAGCTCCAGTGAGCACACAGACAACGGAAGGTCTCCAGCAGAGGCGCGGGAAGTTTATTACAAGACGATGGCGACGGTAACAACAGCAGCAGTAACTACAACGACGACTAGTACCCACGGCGACGGCGAAGAGATCAGACGAATTACGGGCACAGCTAAAGAAATAGCCAACACCAAGGATATTGACACCCTGAACAAGAAAGAGATCCCTTTGCGCCACTTCCTTACCCCTTCGCGGTAGGAGGGTTTTTTTTTCTTGACGTGCTGCTTATCCGAAAAGCGGCCTCGGCTGGCCTCCGACCACCCCACCCAACCAAACCATCGGAGAAGAGCTCACATACATACACAGACACCTCGTAGCCGGAGGGGTTACAAGAATGGATCACAGAGGCATGGCCCTGAGCTTCGGTAGGGCAATACCATACTGAACATCACATTGACATTATTGGCCGAGCCCCGACGTTTGTCTTCCGTGTTCTCGCTGCCTGGACGCGCAGGCTATGCCGGGTGAGTCGGCACGAGACAGGCCAATCGCTCTCTTCGTATGTCTCTAATCCTGTAAAGGTCGATATTAGCGACAAGAAACGACATAATTCGAAAAAACATTTTCAAGAATAACACTAGATATTACATGATGCGAAACCGAAATATTGTCGCAGATGCAGTATTTGTGACGGTATATACATTGAAACTAGAATCATTGCGAGGTGACTTTGGCTTCTCGAAGCTATAAAGAAGGACGACTTTGGCGCGAAGTTCAAAAATTGCCAGCAAATGGTACCCACCGTAGTCCTCTTCAATTCTGAGCTAACTTATATTGAATCTTGATCCTTCTTCGGAGCTGTTCGTAGGTCTACTAGCGACTACAGAAGTCGATGTCAAGCAGTGACATCACGTGACGAGCCCTTACATCACTTGGCAATGAGGTGCCTTTTCTTCGGAGGAAACCATAGAAGCCTGCTATCTCCCCATCGGATTCATCTCCAAATATATACACGAAAAAGTCCCCGCTATGAGTAGTATCTTAAAATAGTATGAAGAATGGTGAAATATCAAAGTTAAATTTGGCGAAATCTAGTTGTCAAAGTCAACCTGTCATACAAACCATAAGTCTATCATGTGAGTTACATTTGCTAACACGGTGCAATCATTTCTACAACGTTTTGGGCTACCGTTTGACACTCGAGTTAGCGTTACGGAGTCCCTGTCGTTTAATGATAAGAATGCTTTAGAAAAGCCATTATGAACGAACCATTTTTGTTCAAAGGCGTTATTTCGTTGAACTAATTTCCGAGATTTTATGCGTATAAACAATATTTAGATTCAAATCTCGATTATAAGGACACTGTTGAAACTATAGCTATAACCAATGTTTTATCTTAACCCATTGTTTTAACTACGTGCTACAGGAAGATGTGCACGCTCTATCATTACCATAACTGTCCTATATGTATTGCACTTAACTATCATATAGAATCTTCCAAGCTAAACTCATGTTGGTGACATCGCGTTGCGAACATTTCCCGATAGCAGATGTCCAACATAAATATCCTCTATATCCCAGCCATTCGGCTTGCGCGCAGTGACCGCGCATCAACTTTCACAAAGGGTCCATTAAGATCAATTGTTCCCTACGAGCTATTGTTGGGTTAGTTATGTTCTATGTTGTTTTCCCGTGTGATAGTGGCCAGTTTATCAGCGCTACTCGCCGCTTCGAGAAGTTGGCGCTGTCGTTCGTTGTATTTCTATGATTTTGCTTATTCTTTTCTCCTGTAATTATATTTCACTAGTGATAACATAATTCAGTACCACATGTGGCGCCCTCTCGCATCTGTTCTGCATACTCATTTCGTTGTTTCGATTTGTGTACGACTTCCGCTAACTTGACCCCCAGTACCTAATACCCCGTAATACTTCGGCCTGCGCCTATTTCGCCGTTGATTTAACTAATTTGATCCTTTAATACTACACCCAGCCTAAAGTAAGCTGTAAGCTGAATCAACAGATATGCTATTGCAATCGCTCTGCCCTACCTAACCCTCTACTTTTCTGTAACTACTTAGCTTATCCCAATATATTCGCCAGGGGACTTCCCTAGACTTTAAATGGGGTCGACTTTAAAATTGTTTCACTCGTACGATGTCGGCTATGATTACGGGGTTTTTTTTTTAATCAATGTGGACTCTGCTTCTGATACACGTATGAATAGAGCCAACTGAGGTTTAAAGCAGGTACGTTCTTTTGAGTACGGCAACGATCGAATTCTAATGGACGTTTACAGTTGATAAGATTGTGGGATTTATTCTGATTTTAGGACCTTACCAGAATCTTTTACTCAGTAGTTACATTGAATTTCATATATATGTCCCTAATGATGTTTCTGTTACAATCAATAGCTATTCCATGTATGTTTGTAATTCATTTAGATCTACCTAAGAAAAGTGATCATAAAATTCATATGTATAGGTGATGTTTTGATCTTGTTTCCGGGATGATACTAAAACTTGAGGGCTTTTTTTCTTATTTCTTTCTTTTCCTAATAATAATAATAATAAGTAATCGTACATATAGAACTAAATGAAAATATCAAATATATTGTATGACGATATCGTATGGTTGGGTCGATGCGTTAACTTTATTCTGGGCAAATTACCAAAGCTTAAATAATTGGTAGAATTTTTTTTTTCTAAAAATGAGAAAATCTCGCTTCCCCAAACATCGGCTTTACCGCCGCTACAACTTTCCAATCGAGAAATTCGCCTGGAAAAACCGCAATTTTTGCTGAACCACACTTGCAGACGGAACGTAGCTTTCGTACATATATTTGCATATTTAGCAAACGCTAGCGACGTTTTGTTGTTTGTAAACAGTCACGTGACGGCGTTATCTTAAATATTGGACCAACAGCTAAGTTAACAACAAACTTTTCTTCTCGGGGGAAACTTATCTGGCTCGATGTTGCGAGAAAATCATCCTAGTATGAGCCCCTAGCGACCCACAAAAAAGCAGCCCGATCTGACGACCGTAGGGGTAATTTTGGGTCCGACAAACAGACAGATAAACGGCTACCGAGTTGTTATATAGATAGATAATAATAATAATACTAACAGCTGTCAAACGTACCCGGCGAATTGCCATTGTAGCAGTCGGTACTTAGAGGCCACTTGTGATGACTGTGATCTCTGGTAGTTAATAATATATCTTTGTCCAATACAGCCGTCAGTGTAATATCACGCATCCGTTTACTGCGTCAGCGTTGGAAGACGAACTGTGACAGGCAACAAAAATAGAAGATGCCACGGTAGCAATACATGAGGACTCATTCATTTCAATAGACGCCGACGGTGCCGACCACGTTCACAGTATAAGGTAGGTGTCTCTTGTCAAGAGTGAAGCATAACAGTGCAAACAGCACTGCTAGTTGTAGCAAAAGTTTAGCAGAAAATTTTTACGTAGAGTTGGATTCCTATCTCCAGCCTTGGTGGTCTTCCATGATATGAATAAGACAGCAATTCGAATGAATCTAAACGGACGTTATAACGACGATACGATAAGCAGGTAATTGATGAAGGCCGTTAGATACGGTGAAAGAGGTTCGCGGATAAGAAAAAGTCGTCTATTCAATACAGCAAAAGAAAATGACGCATACAATCGTATATGGCTCGACACTCCAAGTGGCAAGCATTGGCTTTTTTGAGTGAGTTTTAGTATATACACATATATAATTGAGTGCTTATTGGGGTTGATTGGACAAAGCCCTGGCAGCCAATACAAAGACACATCTGTACGCAACAATTGTTTATGGCGCACTATATTCTTTTTCACGAGTGAAATCTTCGCGCCCTCGTTAACCTCTATAATTAAGAATAAAACTCTTGATCGGATCATTGTTTATGCCTTGTGTTTCCTTTACGATAATACGATATTCGTTTCATTCGCCGTTCGTAGTGTGATACTGTTGTTTTCCGAACCCGTCTCCCGCAATCTCCGGTTTGTTCAGAACATGCCCTGCCGATGCAGCCTACGAAGATCCATTGGTGCAGCACAACGTCCCCCCCGTCCCCCGTCCCCACAAGGGCAACGGAAACGGTACCGTGCGTAAGACACGCGAACGCCAAACACAAACCGAATGCAAACGTCGGATGTCGAAAGCCTCCATTGAGCGTGCCCCTCTTTCTCTGTCCCATACTCATGAACATATAGCCACGCTGTTCTACGACCGGTTCTTGTAGTAGCATGTTCTGTTCGCAATACATGAAGCGAATTTGCCAAGACACAGCTTCCTTCCGTTCATTGTCAATATGCAAATGATCAAGGTGGAGTCAGTTTTTGGACTGACACTGCAATCCTCCAGCGAACATGGCTGTCGGGGTAAGAGAGAAACCTAGGAAGCGAAACGGGCTTCGCCCGGGGGTCCGAATGGCAGCGGCGGCGGCTGTTTGGTCTTTCATTCGCCATCGTGTTGAATCAGGCCATCGGGAATAGCCGGGAGGGGATTAGCCCAACAAACGTACATTTGGTTGAGTAGTATGATAGGGGATTACGCTTCCGCCGGAACCAGCCGTTTTCTAGTCAGACCCAGTTGAGGCCAAAGCCAAGCAAGACCTCATTCGAACTGAGAATCCGTCCGGAAAAATGTCCGGGACATTTTAATTAGCTGTAGAAACAATAGACAGCAGAACTAACAGTTCTACTTGCGGTGATGTCAGCTTTTCAATACGCAGCTGCTCATGCGTTAAGCGTGACACCGTACCAGAAGTTTGCTATGAACAGACGATGGAATGAGTTCTGCGATTTTGTGTGTACTCGATGTTCACGTAGAAAAAAAAGAGGAAGCGGCAGTTGCTTGCGAAGAACACTGGGGTGTGTACTTTACGAGAAGAACGAGGGGCCCCAGATATATTTGTGTTGAGCAGTGAAGTGTTATTCTAGTACCTTTATGCTCCTCAACTCCAGCTGAAGATTGTAGACAAACATTTTTTTTATACCGAACTATATTGTAAAGTGAATAAATTTTTGTTCTGCCATCGTTGGACTTGATGTGATTTGAAGCTCTTTCTTCGCTCTATATTAATAAAAGGGTAATATATGAATCCCAAACTTTGCGATAAGCGACACTTCGTGCGCACAATTCGATGGTGAGCTCCTTTAGCTATCGATATAACGAGAAAATATTTTCGGTGATCGAGATTCATGGTTTTGGTTTTTTTTCCCTCGAAGTCTCAATAATGGTTAAGATTGATCTTCAGATCACCTTTAACTTTAGAAGATATTGTCTGTGATCGAAAGACATAGTTCTGTTAGTGTTCTGCTCGAGGTTTACCTATGAATGAGATAAATGTGTTATGGTTGTTCCAGTTTAGTATCAATCGTCAATGTGTGTGTCTGACCCGGTAAACAGTAAAGGTAAATAGAAAGAGAAGCTTTTATTAACCTAAGCTCCTGCCAGAGGAAACGACGTGCATTATTCTTAATAGCAAACACGTTTTGTTGCTCATGAGAAGGGGCATCGGCCGGGAGCAGCAGCAATTGACATGGCCGATTTGCCGATCACAAAATCAGAGTCGTAAGTTAAGGAGGAATTAAGTGCTAAATCCTTGTTTTAAAAGGGAATCAGTTCTATAGCATGTTTGACCCTATTTGGCGTGATAAAATAGAAGCTATCAACTAAGTTAGTCCTGGTACATTGGCAAGAAGACACGGTATTTAGACAGTACATAGTCAGCTGAAGCAAAGTTCGTCTTGAGTTCAGAAATATATGCCTTTATGTAAGATATTAAATGGACCTTTGAGAAGCCTATTGACTTCGTGTACGTATCCTCATACAAGGGGATCGACTGTGGAAAAAAGTACTGAGTTAACCTTACTAAGAGCCTTCTCGGCAGTTATATGTAGACGTTAAAAACTAAAAGCCATCGGACCATTTAGTGACTAACGGGCGTTTATTAATGACAAGGTGAGTGGAAATGTTTCAATAAAGAAATATTGCCCGGCCCGTGAACACATAGTACTTTCTGATGGATGACCAGTTTTCATACCCTATCGACCCTGGTCGGTAAGGCTGGTTGAATAGGTCACTTACCATATACGCACCTTCCGCTTCTACAAGAAAACTGTGCATTGATATAGTCAAATGATATGCTTTATAGAAGACCACATCTTGCCCGTAACTAAAAGGAACGCAAATTTTTTTCCAGAAAAAAGCCTGAACTTGCTACTTGTGCCTACTCCAGATGGCGACAGGCTGCACAACACCAGGGTGAAGCATCTTCTCCTGCAGGTATACTTTCGGGCCGAAAGGGATTCTGTGCAGATATCAAATATAATTACTACACCGGTGTTTGCTATAGAATTCTAATAATACTATATATTGTGCTTTATATGTGAAACGCCTATATAGGCGTATATATATATATATATATATATATATATATATATATATGTATATATATAAAAATTGGCACCTAAATTAGGATTTCCGGTTGTGCTTTCAAGAGTGGATCTGACAAAATGTTCTGCTTGCCAGGGGTGCCATTCCGTACAAGTTTCAACCTGATTTATGCTTTCTCAATATTACCACTCTCTATCGCGATTACAACATTCGTTTTGACGTTATTCAACCACTTTCTAATCGTTCGTTACTATTTTTCCCTCCAATAACCTTTCAAGAATAACCGTAAGTATTAGTAGATATACGTTTCTTGAGGGGAGAAGAAAATTAGTTTCATTGAATGTTAAGCCAAAGATCCTAAAGATGTGGGGGTTCAAAACAACCAAAAAAATGTAATGTTGCGAAAATACTGAAAAAAAAATAATCCTTTCTTAATTAAATTAATTTCTCTGTCAAAAGGTTAAATGTATCAGAAAAACATTTTTTTGGTGAATCTTTGAGCACGTAAAATTGAAGCCTCATTGATGATTTTTCGATCTGCTTCTTGAAAGTGCTCTTCAGGTGCCGTAAGAAAAGTGATAATAATTTCAAGCGAGAATGAAGTTTGTAACCTTGGAGGGTGGAAGGTTCGTCCTCGTACACGTAGAGGTTGGGGTCTTTGCTTGAATTGCGTAATCGACATATTGTTTAGCTCCATGACGAGTGTGTTGCTTTGTCAAAGAAAAAAAACATATTTTTGTCCACTGCCAAAAATGTTAGACGGACGCATGCCATTTACGATGAACAGCTCATAGAAGTCGTTTGTACTTGTGTGTAGAGGAAAGCGGAGCTATATGGGACGGGGGCTCCATGGGCTACCCCGTTTCTATAGTTAGGAAACGTTGATTTAAAGTTATAATATAACTAATGTTTCCTGTTTCTCTAGGGGTAGACGGGTCGGAAATTCAATGCAAGGGTAACACTGTATTTTTCGTGTTTTATCAAAATTTTATTGAATTATAAAAAAGCAAAACCTAATACCACTTATATATGTAATATAAACGTCGTTACATCGTTGCATCACATGATTACTATGGAAGCTACTATATGGAGTACTATAGTTTCGAGCCTGTAAAACAATATCGTCGAAGTAATTGATATTGCTTCTAAGCACAACTTACTGTAGTAGTCATATATATATATATATATATATATATATATATATATATATATATATATATTTGAGAATTTTTCTTGCTAAACAAATGTATCGTATGCCACGTTTCTAAAATTGTTTTTGAAAGAACCTCTGACATCAAGATATTCTGATAGAACACCGTCGAAGAGGAACGTTATTGTTGATAAGACTTAACACCTCTTATCCTATGGGATCAAGTTCTGAACGTGGCATCAGTTCAAGTTTCTATAGACATGTTTATTACTCGGAGTTCACAGGTTCATTTAGTAACACTGCGGCATGCACAACTGTATTTTCGTCGACAGCTATTCCAAGCTTCAGAACGTCGCTCATGTTTAAATTCTGCCATGTTCCGTGATGACTTGAACGCTGTTGACCAGCGCTAGATTCTGTGCATCGAAGAACCATTCGAAACGTTGCCACTTCGCTACCACCTATCGCCGTGGCTCGGGCAGGAGCAATCGTTTCATAAGAGGATGCTCTAGAGGTTAGCTGCTGGATCACTGAAAATCTTAGAACGGCTCGTACATATAGAACAGTGACAGATGGGTACAGGGTTTAAGCCGACGCTGGCAACAAACAGCTGCGACCATTGCGGATAGACACCATTCCGTTAGGTCAGCTACTCGTGAATTAAGAATAAGTGAAAGCATATTGCAATGACAGCTCAAGGCCATGTAAGAAGCTGCAGTTACTGGTACTTCAAACGACTTCGCTTCAACATACGCACATTCGCATCGTGTGCCTAATACACGGTGTCGAAACGCTGTACTAGCAACATACTACGGATGATGACTAGGTCGAAGCCGAGCTAAGCATCGCGGATTGAATGATGGCTTATTTAGCATCTAGCTTTGTTAGATAACGGTGAAACTCGGAACGATGTCGTTCGAGCACACAGTGAGCTTTAATAGGAAAGTGCCGAAAAGCCCTTCTCGAGACTCACAAAACTTTTGTAAAGTCATATAGTTTTACTCCCTGAAATGTGTTCAGTGTAGATGATGTCTTTTCTTACCGTAATGTACCTTTCAAGAGCGATTACGTTTAAGAGAGCGAAACCAATTCCTTAGATGACATCAAAAGGACGCAGAACCCTTGTCACAGTGCTCGCCTTCGTGTCCGCGTAGACGTACAGTTCCGTCGTGTTCGGCTTTTCAGAGACGCATTTCGAAGAACATATGCTAATAGGTGCAATCGCTGGAACGCTTTGCAAACCTGTTTGGACGGGTCACATGGGAAGGGATCGTATCCCCAATTTTCGCTTTTCCGCCTAGAAACCATACTGACTAGCAAAGGCAGCCACGAGACTATGTAAGGCGGCGAAGAGGGATCCAGTTGGCTTTGACGGATAGTGTCGACATTATAACACTTTTTCTGTTCACCCTGCGCGATTAAGGTTCAACTTCTAGGTGCAACAGGCAACGTTTAGGCCAGTTCAACAGAACTTCGCTATAGTAATAATAGGTATCCTGACCATTTCGAAGCCAATGAATAATGTTAATACTGATAACTAACTTATATACATGTATATATTGTCGAGAATATGTTTACCGTCACACGTATTTATCTCTCTCATGTTCTCATAAGTTTTTGGCTATTATTCATGTGCCGCCTTGAAGTCCAGTCATGATGATTATTTCCACCTATTTTTTTCAAATATACCTGCTGTTTTTCGTCGTTCAAGTAGCACTTAAAGCACAATTAGAAACTGTGTATGTCTGTACTTTCTATTGACGTATGTTAGCTTTTCAATGTAAATTGTGTTAGTTTTTATTTGAGCATCTTCGTGATTCATTGTGAAGGAGGCTATAACAGTCGCTGCCGGAAAAGATGTACCGAGAGGCGATGTATGTACTTGTACTTATTTTTCTGGGGTGACTTTACAGCACCTCGCTTAAATTTTCAGCATATTATATCATTTATGTACTCGAATAAGTCCGAGCTACGGCGATCAATGTCATAGCGATATCATGTTTTTTTGTTAATGATATGTTATGGACATTGGCATATCATATGTATTCTTGCAAGGACCGAACAGCTATTCAAGCTAATATTTTATGCGACGATTACTTCTTATCTAAAACATGGAGGTTTCACTTACTGGGTCTCTAGCCCACAGAACCTATCTTCCCTAGATATAGCCCATTTATGAGGTAGTGGAGTTGAACATACATGGATATTGATCAGGTTTTTGGCTTCGTCGACACGCTTATCTTCGTTTCGTCTGTAGTCGACTGCCTAAGTGAAGAGTTTTTCTTTTTATATTCTAGGAATTTACTTTCATGTGGACTCATTTATTTTTTTTAATACTTTAGTCTAATCATAATTTTCTACGGTGCGGGCTGGGGTAAATTGGGACAAACGGGAATGCCCTCATACGTTATTCTTTGTGTGAGAAAGCAGACTAAACAATCAGCTCGTCAGGGTAAAAAGTCGCTGCTGTATAAGATGCCATTATTGGATCAGACTACGCACTAAACGAACCCCCCAATAAAATGAAAAAAGGGTTTGTTTTTTGTGCCTAGTCGACGATTTACCTACTGCTACAGTTTTTATGCGGATTCTCGAAAATCAGTTTAAAAAAATTTTAATGAGGCAAAACGAAAAGTCTTCAATAGATATTTTCATTCAAAGAGCTTGGAAATGAATCAAGTTTGCCTAAGCTGTTCGTAGTACACTTGGCTGTTTGATACAGAAATTAAGAGCGGTTTTAAAAAGGAAATCATAGATCGCCAATCGAGTCGTTTATACAAGCCTTTTTGCGCCTCTTGGACTTTTTGGCCACTTTGAGCCTGTGTACTTTTGGGCCTACTATCAACCCAACATTTAAGTTCGCTTGAATGTTTTATGTATAGCGTGTTGAAGCGATAGTGTAGCAAGTTTATACTCACCGATATCGCTTGGTGTAACGCTGGTATTAAAAAAAAAAGCTATTTCCGGATTAAAGGCGAAATATTTCTGAAACGACTCTTAGGTAGGTTAGGTTACAGGTAGAAGCTTTAATTGCCGTGAATAGTGGTTACGCTGAACAAATATGACCATCAGGAATAACAGCTTTAGCGCATGCAGGACGTTCCGTTAAAACGTCCGACCTTATTTAGGTACGGTCTCAAAAATAAGGTGCAAGAGAAAATCCGAACTCAGACACCGTATTTTACGAACACTAGAGCTATAAGCAATTAGTCTCTAAGCGGAACATTTAACGCATATATTATTGAATCGTTATTAGTAAGACAGTCAATTACCAGTAGTGTGCTCCGCAGACGGAAGAGAGGCATTTTTATGAGGTTCAGAAGAAAAGTTGGCTTCTATAAGGCTGATTGAGACAAATTCAGAATTAGCATTTTAATGCACACTTTCGAAAATAGGTTGCCCTATTTGGGATGCAGTGAGTCGGAAACAAGTAAAATAGAAGTAGATTGTCTTGCTCTAAATTCCTAATGAAGCGTGCAACGCAGTACCCTGTGAGAGGTAATCTCCCGTTTAGGGACCTGGCCTATATGCATTACTTGTGCCATATACCCACGCACTTATCACCACGGGGTCCCTTGAGAGAAGACTTGAATGGAATCCGCCTCGCGGCTCGATCTGATGTGTAATTTTCAGTGAACTGCATCTATGGAAGGAGTTATGCTAGCTGAAACTTCCAAAATCGTATAGGTTCGTGATAGACCTGCAAGGAAGAGA